GGCTTCAGAGCAAACTGATTTATGCAGTAGCCAAATTGCTTGCTCACAACTTTAATGCCAGTAGCTCACAACGTAGAATTTTTGCTCACAAGATTACACAGCTTAGAGGGAACATTGGTGCTGAATGTGGGTAATGTGTTTTGTCTGAAGTCAGTCATTTAAAGGATAGTGCAACTGCAAAGAGGGGGTGGGTGACACATGATTCCAGGCTTTGCGCAAGTGGGTCAAAAGGATGAGCGAGATGACTGGGATTCTGGGGAAGACTAACTCTTTGGGAAACAAGACTGTTTAGCTCATGAACGGGACAAAAGCTGCCAGAAGCTGCAATGACCAAGCAGCTAGTGTGCAGGTGCAAAGCTGATTTGACAGGCCACTGTGCACATGACAAACTTCACCAGGGAACATCAAACTGATCCATGCAGCTTCTCGTCTCATATGTAACTGAAGGAGCTCAAAGTATGTTCTCCTGGCAAGGACGTTTGCTGTGAAGTTCTCAGCACACCTAGCTATCCAGTAATCACAGTTAACAATGGAGCAATGTTTCATAACTGTCCATACGATCCTATGGATTCATCTGTTCAGGGAAAGTAATCATTACAGTGATTCATATACAATCGCTACCAATAGGGTTTTCCTCTGAATCCTTCTCCAAAGCAAGTCTGTGTCCTGGTACCAAGTAAACCTCCTGTATTTTAATAATAAAATAAATAATAAATGTTTTAAATAAATAAATAATGTTGCTGTTGTTGTTTAGCGACTTGCACAGTTCGGGGCAATTCAAGACACAACAGGTAGCTGAATTCAGGTGCAGCAATAATTTACATGGGTTTCTTCCAGGAGCCAATTCATACACTATGTTTTTAGTGTACACCTTGAAGGGTATATGTTAAAATCCAATTCATACACTATGTTTTTAGTGTACACCTTGAAGGGTATATGTTAAAATATGTTAAAATCTAATGTGTGAATGAGACACATGTGATCTAAACCCACTTCTTTCATACTGTAGGCAGCAAGAAGCCAGGATCGGCTGCAGGTCCCTGTTGAGTGTACACTTGGTAGCAAACTCAAGTTTGCTGTCATGTAATGTGTAAAATGAAATTGAGTCCGAAGAGAGAGTTTCATGTCTACCATGTGATTTCCTAAAAAGAATATTTCACTGAGACGGATATGCTGTTGGGGGATAATTAACAATCACATTGAGAATAATCACAGAGTGCCAGCCTAGGACCTGGAAGACTCAGGTTTGAATCCCCACTCTACTGTGGAAGCTTGCTAGCTGACCATGGGCCAGCCACATACTCTCAGCCTAACCTACCTCACAGGGCTGTTGTGAGGATAAAACTGAGAAGAGAATGGTGTGAACGACTTTGGGTCTCCACTGGGTACAAAAATGGGGCCTAAATGGAGTCGGTAAATAAAATAAGGTCTAAACTCTGGGTCTGTTCAATCTTCCATTGAACAGCAGCACAGAAGGTGAACATACACCATCACTGTTTCCAATGAGGCATTAGCCCATTGGCCCACCTAGCTCAGTATGGCCTGCTCTGATTGGCAGCAGGTGTCCAGAGGGGTCAGGCACAGAATGGTCCTTCCCATCACCTGAGATCCTTCAGCTGGCAACAGCAGAGACCATCAGCAGAGAAAGCATCTTTGACCCACAGCCCATCTCTTAAGAATGAAGCTTTAAGTTACATGTCGACTTGCATAAATTATCTTGCTGAGGACACGATCCTGACTGATTCATCCCAGTGGGCTTCTTTCCGGTCTCTTGGTAAAGAACTGCAAAACTTAACGCAGTGGGCAGGCTCTCTTTTTAAGAGAGATAGGGCCGGGAAATGGCCAACATCCTAGCATCCTTGGGGAGGAAGGCAGCTGAGGAATGAAGCAAGGAGGAAATGATAAAGCAGGACCAAGAGACGTGGGCCCAAATCCAATGAAGGTTAGAAGAAGAAGAAGAGAAGAGATTGGATTTATACCCCGCCCTTCACTACCCGAAGGAGTCTCAGAGCGGCTTACAATCCCTTTCCCTTCCCCTCCCCACAACAGACACCCTGTGAGGTAGGTGGGGCTGAGAGAGCTCTCTGTCCAGAACTGCCCTTGAGAGAACAGCTCTGAGAGAACTTGTGACTGGCCCAAGGTCACACCAGCAGCTGCATGTGGAGGAGTGGGGAATCAAACCCGGTTCTCCCACCTTAGAGGCCGAGCTCCTGACCACTACACCAAACTGGTTAGTCATGCTTACATCCTATTGAACCCAACAGAACAAGTGAATGGTGCTGTTCTGTGCAGAGTTACTCCACTCTAATCAGTTCTAGACAGGACTGTGCTGTGGGTTAGTTACACCTAACCTGTGTCAGCAGACTCAGCATGATGTAAGACTCACCAAAGGACGGTTAGCTGTACTTCATTCTGTTTTCTGCGCTATGAGTCATTCATACATGCATGTTTATCCCCCAATGGCTGCAATATCAAGAGAGGAGCCGGGTGTCTGATAGTGCAACCCTAAGCACAGTTTATACCCATCTAAGTCCATTAAAGTCAATAAAGTAAAGCAGTTCCGTTTAGGACAGCACTGTAAATAGACCAAAACGGACCTAACTTTCTTATCCCCTTACAGCGCTTTTCACTGGGGCAGTTCATACATTCTACTGCCCCTTAGGGAAATCGAGGGAGACACACAGATGTGTGAACCAGCCCCAGACAACTGGCTGTAGAACATATGTGAGCTAACGTCACTAAAAAGCATCCTGGTTGAGGAGATATGGACACTCTTGTCTCCCATTCACACATGCACCCAAGCCACCCCTTTGGCATTCCATTCATCAAGTGCCTATATGGGAGCTGGGCCTATCTTTCTTTGGATCAGGACCGTGGTCCGTGCGTGGTTTTGTATGACGAAACAAGCGTGGATTCCCTTGCATTGAAAGGGGGAAACTGCAACACCTGAGCTAAAATTAGCTTACAATTGTCCCCATGGAGATAAGGCCCACGGAAAGAGGAGAAAGATATCACTCACCCTGCAGTGAGGGCTTGGTCTTGCTAGGAATCCCCTTTCGTAAGCCATCAGCGACATTATCCAAAATCATTATCTAAAATACTTAATTTAAAATAATAAAAATGAAAAGGTATTCCCAGCCCCTACCCAGAACTGTTTATTAAAACTGCAAAGGCATTTCCTCCCACTTTCCTAGAATAGTTCCTTTACCCAGAATAGACCCCGCTGCCACTCCCTCGACCAGCAGAGGGCGCCTGAGGGAGGCGTTTAAAGAGAAAGATCTTTAAACACGCCAGGCTGTTCCAGTCGCCGCAGACCGTGGCCTCTTTTTACAAACACAGTTTTTAATAATACAAATATAATAACTCCTTGCTGGCTGCCTTGGCAGCCACAGCGGGTTCCCTTTTTTTTTTCCCCGCTGGCGGACCCCAGTGTTAATTCTGTGCGCCGTTTTCTGTTTCCATTCCTAATAGGGTACCTTTTGGACCCACAAGGTTTCTCCTTCGAGAACGAAAAATGAAAACCCCGGGAAAATAAATATATTTCTTTCCGCGAAAGCGCAACGAACGCGTCAGCCGAGCAAGCGCTGCATTTGTTTCTTCTGTAAGAGCGCCAGTATTTCCCACTCCGCACATTTACTAAAAATCGACCCCGGGGATCGTCAGCTTTGCAGTAACTTTACAGCAGCGAGGAAACCGGTTCGTGCGAAGGGAAAGAAAAAACCCCCCCCCCCCCAGATCTTCTGAACTAAGGCTAAGTTTGATTGCCCTCCTCCTCCTCTTCCTCTTTACGGGGAAAAGTCTCGCTTCCCACACACACACACCAGCTCCGCCTGGGCATGACCACGAAACCCTTTCCCGTCTTTGCTATAAAAAGGACCAGACGAGGCAATTCGTGAATTTTTTTTAAAAAATAAACACCGTCAACCAGGATGACTTAAAAAAAAAAAATCCTCTTGTGCAATTTATGTAACGCTCTTTAATCAACGCCAACTCAGGACGAAGAGAAAGCGACATGCGCTAAATGGCTGAAATGCAACCCGATTGACTGATTGATTACTTTTAAAAACAATCATAAAAAAGAGCCAGGCATCTTCTCTCGCTAGATTCCAATGGAAAACCTGAAAAACCAACTCCGTGCACCACTTCGCTGTCACCTCCGTCCCACCTTCTACCCCGGCTTGTTTTAGCATGAAACTGAAAGGACGAACCGGCCGGCTGCTGTTAAAAAATCCACACAATTTTTTTTAAAAAATAAAATTCTTCCTTGACGTTCAGGCGCACACAGGGCCATACTATATACCTGTAGAAAGACACATACACACACCCCCGGGGAGACTATACAATTATAGGGCACCAGCAAAGCGGCCCTCCCTGGCCCGCCTGCCTCAGAGTCGCTGAGGGGAGTCACGCTCCAGGCCTTCCCTCACTGCTGCTGAAACTCCTGTTGGGGGCTGGCGCCGCGTTTGCGTCCGAGGTTCCGCACGGCCAGCACGGAATCGGATGCGCTGCCGGCTCGGACTGCAGGGGCAAAAAAGCCTTGTCAATTTCATTGTTCTAACTGCAGCCAGACTTTGCCCACTTCCAGCGGCAGACTCGCCGGAGAGGAGAGCCTCGGTGGCCACCGGCGGGCATCGGGGGGAGAGAAATATTTCTTAAAGACCATCTGCAAAATGAGGCGGGGAGTGTGTGGGGGGGAATGGAGAAGAAGCAGCCAGAAACCTTCTCTTATTCGGGGGGGGAAAGCAATTCTCTGGATTTTCTTTGGGAACGCACAAAAGCGGCGCCGGGAAATCAACACACACACACACGAAACACACACCCCTTCTTCTGCAAGCACACATTCCCTGCTAACTCCCGTAGCGATAAAGCCGGGGGGTGGGGGTGCCAGATCGATGGTCATCGGGGTTTTTTCGCCCCCTCCCCCTTTTTCAAAACCCTGGTGGCAGGCTGGATTGAGAAGCAGGAAGAGAAACAGAAAGAGCCAACAAAAGCTGCCTTACCTTCGTACATGGGGGCCATCGGTGCAAGAATGTCTGTTATTCATGGCAACGAAGGGAAAATGAAGCAGGATTCAGGTCCCCCCCCCTTAAACTCAATAGAAATCTGCCATCTTGAGCCTGTGTCTCTCCGTACAGCCGAAGCGGCCAGCAGCCTCCTGCATCACCGCTTCAATTCATCGAGGGGGGAGGCGGGGGGAAAAGACCCCCCCGAGCCCTCCATGCAGCACGAAACACCAGCAGCCCCGAAGGGAGCGAAAAGCCAAAGACGGGAGGGGGGGAGGAAAGGGGGGCGCCAGTCGACGCACAGTGGACAGGTCAAGTGGGGAGGGGGGTGTGGGTGGCCGGAGGTCCCTCCAGACTTGGGATTTGGGGGGGCGGGGAGGGGGGACTCGAGGGATCCCCCGAAGCTCTCAGCTCAACATGTCTGTCTGTCTCCGTGTTGGGGCTTTCTGCAAAAGTTGCATTAGGAGGCGAAAGGAAGCGAGAGACTGAGAGCCGGAGACACAGAGAGGGGAGGAGAAAGAGAAGAAGGGGAGGGGAAAAGGGAGGGAGGGAGGCGGGGGGAGCACAGGGAGTTTGCAAATAATCAAACACCGATGGCATGGATCGCAGTTTCCCA